AGCAGAGGCCTTCAGTCTGTGAATGCTGATGATGGACATGCAAGTAGCAGCAGTGCTGGCCAAAGCCATTGTCACTTGCAGGCAGGCTGTCTCCGCTCCGCTGCAGGTAGGCAGAGGGGCCTGCCTCGGAAACCTGCCATTTGTTATTCTTTTTCTATCTTTCTTCCTCCCTTCCTTCCTACCTTCTTTTTCCAAGATTGATTGATTTATTTAAAAGGTAGGATAAGAGAGAGAGAGAGCCGGAGAAACAGATTTTCCACCTGCTAGTCCATTCCTTACATGGTTACAATAGCTAAGACTAGGTCAGGCCCAACCCAGGAGCTTCTTTATGTCTCTAGTGTGTGTGCAGGGACCCAAGCATTTGGGCCATTCCTCTGCTGCTTCCCTTGGCACGTGAGAATTGAATTAGAATTGGCATATTGGAAGCTGGATTAGAAGTGAAACAGCTGGGACTCAAACCGGCACCCATATGGGATGCTGGTGCCGCAGGTGGTGGCTCTACCCACTATGCCACAATGCCAGCCCCCACTTGTTTTTTTTTCCAACATCCTTGCTGCTTCTTTCCCCTTAGGAGCGGATTCCCAAACACAACAATCCACATTAATGAGCTTTTCCCAGAATGAACCTGCGCCTAAACGGATGGAAACCCTGCTCATTGCAGCCCTTCCAGCTACCTACGTGCCACTGGGAAGCCAGAGTCTGGGAGGATGGAGGGGGAGGGACGGTCACGAAGGGACTGCTGACCGTACCCTCCCTTCCCGTGGCCTCTGGGCTCAGGGCCTCCCAACACCCAGGGCTTCCTGCAGCCGGGCCCCCCCTTCTGACCCAGGCCCAGCCAGGTCTGGCTTCTGAGGGTCCTGTAGGTCTCCTGGTGACATTTCTGGAAATGATGCCATAGGGTTGTGCGAGGAGGCGGGGGCCTGTTCTCTCCTTGGTTCTGGGAAGCTGTGCAGTGGGGGGAGAGGCAGTGGTGCCGGGAGAAGGAAGAGGGGTAGAAAAGGCAGACAAAATGCCCATTATGCCAAGCCTGTCCATTTCCTTTCTTGATCTCTTTATCAGTGTTTGCGACTGTGCTGCTTATCAACAGGAAACGCCTGCCTGGGGTGGGAGGGAGGGGATGAGGCAGGTCCAGGGGGAACTGGACGCCTGCTGGGAACTCTGGGGAGTTCCTTGCTGCTGGACAGCCTGACCGATTGATAGCCATGCCCCAGAAAGGCACCCCGTCTTTTTGTGTTGGCATTGGCACTGGAAGATGGTCCATCAGTTAGTCCCCCTGCCTCCCGCTCTGGGCTGGAGAAGTGGCAGGAGGGAGCGGACCCTGAGGGGCAGCCCAGTTCTGCCTCTCTGTGACCCAGGACGGGTCACCCAAGAGTTCAAGCTAGAAAACGAAGAGAACTAGGGCAGGAATTGTGGCCCAGCTGGGACATCCACACTTGGAATGCCAACAGTCTCCAAGTGCTTGGGTTCAAGTCCCGTCATCTCTGCTTCCCATCCATGTGCTGGCCAGTGGGCAGCCTGGGAGGCAGTCACTGAGCTCAACAGGCTGGGTCCCTGAAACCTTTGTGGGCGACCGGGATGGGAGTTCCGGCTCTGGCTTCGACCTGACCCAGCCCTAAGCTGTTGGGGACATTTTGGGGGTGTACCTGCAGATGAAATATTTGTCTCTTTTATTGCTCTACCTTACAAATAAAAACAAATAACTTTTTTTCCTAAAGATTTGTTTATTCAATAAGCAGAACTATATATATAGAGAGAGGGACAGAGAGAGGAGAGAGATTCTCTGGTTACTGATTCACTTCCCAAATGGCCGCAACACCCAGGTCTGGGCTAGGACAAGACCAGGAGCCGGGAGCCCTATCTGGGTCTCCCATGTGGTGTCAGGGTCCAAGTACTTGAGTCACCTTTTGCTGAGTCAGGGAGCTAACAGGTTTTGCTAACAAGGGGCTGAATCAGAAGTGGAGCAGTCAGGACGCAAACCAGCACTCTGATATGGCACCTCGGGCATCTGCTTAACCCACAGAGACACCATGCTAGCCCCTAGCCTTTCGTGCGTGTGTCTCTCCTTTCCCACCCATTCCTGCCGCATTCCAGGTATGAAGAGGCCAGGGGGTCGGCTGAGAAACTGCTGAGTCACCCAACGGGCTTTTCTAGCGAGCTCACCCCTGAGTTCTGAGAGATCTTCCAACCACTGGCTTGTGCCCCACATTCACTGCAACTGGCAGGTCTGGGCCAAGCTGAGGCCAAAAGCCCTAGAGCTCCGTGATGATCTCCCACGTGGGTGCGGGGGCCCAAGCAACGTGGGCCGTTTTCTGGGCTTTCCCAGGAGCATCAGTAAGGAGCTGATGGGAAGTGGAGCAGCTGGGATTGGATCGATGCTGGAAGCCAGCCTGCAGCTGTAGTTGTTGCAAGTGATGGCTTAGCCTGCTGCCTCCCTCTCTCCCAGTTTTTTTTTTTTTTTTTTAAAGACCCAGAGCTTTAAAAATACCCACGGATCGGCCGCTCTCTCAAATGGTCCTCCCAGGAAGAGGGACAGACTGAAGGGTTAGATTGCCTGGGAGGTGAGGTGTAGGATATCTGGGCCAGGCAGAATGGCAGAGAGAGAGAGAGAGAGAGAGGGAGAGAGAGGGAGATGCAGGGTTATGCATCTGCAGGAGACTGAATAGAGAGAACAGGAACTGGCACTTCCTGTTGGAGAGGTGGAAAATGTTCTTGTGGAGAACGGGAGTTGGGCCACCTGGCTTCCGGTGCTTTCCATTCTAACTCAGTTGCCCTTGAGCCAGCGGATCCTGCTTTTGGTGATGGTGGTAATAAAGAAATGTTAATGTGTCTGCTGCCCTGCCCCCTCTCCCCTTCCCACCACTACCACCACCACCGGATCTTCCTAAACAACCCCACTTGCCCTGCCCCTCCAGTGTCGGCTCCTGCAGCTGCAGATGTAGGTCAAGGAGAGTGGGTGGGTGAGGAAGAGCAGACATACACACAGACACGCCACTCCGCAGGGCAGCAGTGACAACACTTAAACCTGAAAGCTGCCTGAAAATAGACTGTGTGTCTATGACATTATGCAAATCATATGCAAAGTCAAGAAGCCCTCTGTCTCTATTTCTAGCGAACTGAATGTGGCCCTGGTGGAAGCAGTGTGTTCCCAGAGTCGCCCACCCAGATGCTGCCATCAGCTGGCATTGGCACTGCCCCCTTGGGAGGCCACACTGGGCACCTGTAGCCCTAGGGTCAAACCTCTTGGGCAAGACGCCTTGGCGCTGGCTTAGGCTACAGACCTCAATGCCAGTGTGCCCAGGGGGAAAGCAGGGCCTTTTCCTCCAGGGCTGGCAGGAGGCAGGACTGGGCTGGGGGTGGCGGAGAGAAAGAGGGCAGGAATGCCTGGAACTCCCACCCAGGGCCCCAGTGTCTGAAGAGGTCTTGGCAGGGAGAAAAATGTGACTCCCTCAAGACCTCATCTCCCACCCCCGAGTAACACCCATCCCACCCCCTTGGGAGGGCTCTGGCCACCCAGACACCTCTCTTTATAGGAGTGCCAAGTCTGGGGGAAGGAGGGGAACCTGATGCTGTGGCTCATGGGCCAATCCTCTCTAAGCACAGACATCCCCAAGTAGGCACAGGTTCACCTCCTAGCAACTCCACTTCCCAGCCAGCTCCCCGCTTATGGGCTGGGAAAGCAATAGCAGATGGCCCAAGTTCTTGGGAGCCTGCACCTGTGTGGGAGACGGGGATGAAGTTCCTGGCTTTGGATTGGCTCAGCTATGATCATTTGGAGAGTGAGTCAGAGGATGGAAGTTCTTTCTGTCTCTCCTTGTCTCTGTGAATCTATCTTTCCAATAAAAATAAACCTTAAAACAGAGAGAGAGGGGGAGAGGAGAAATGACAAGACTGGTGTTTAGGGTCTCCCAGCAAATCAGGGTAAAGTGAAGGGAGCCGTGGGTATTCTTCAAAAGCATTGGGGTTCCCTGAGGCTGTATTGGAGCCAATGGTAAGGGAGATGGGGGTGGGGGGGTGTTGGGGTGGTCCCTGGACACAGAGGCCTGTCCCGGATGCTCCAATCCTGACGCCCATTCCTCCTCCCCCGAGGACACGCAGCTTGCCTGCAGGGGTGGGGGTTGGAAGGGCTCCTGTCTGAGCGTTGCCCTTCTTCCCATGTTCCACTCACAGCGTGGACACTAGGGTAAGGATGGAAGGGTGGGCCGGGGTCTGGGCAGGTGCAGGGGAAGGCAGCTGCATGCTTGGGGCGCCCCTGTGTTTAACATCCCTGCACTTCAGTCCTTCTGGAAGCCCGCTGTGCATTGCAGGAGGGGGGTCAGGGCACCCATGCAGAGCTTGCAGGGAGCAGACGAGGTCGGCGGGGGATTTCAGAGCCCGGGGTTCCCCCTAAGCGCGCGTCTGATGCAAGCGCGGATTTTTGAGGTTGGGCCATGCTCCCACCCTCGTCCCACTCGCGGTATGCCTTGGTCCCCAGCGTGGGGGAGGTGGGGAGACAGAGATCCGCAAGGAGCTCTTCCCACTGCAGGGGTAGGTGGGTGGGGGCTGACCCCGGTAGAGTGGGGACTCCGCCGAAGGAGGGGATTGCGGAGGGCCGGCTCCAGCGGCCCGATCGCGGATTCAGAAAGTCCTCGGCAGGTGTGGTGACCCCATGCACATCGAGGCCCGTGGAGCTGCGGTGTCCACCTTGCCGGGAAAAGCCTGCCGGTGCCGCGCCCAGCGGCCAGCAGAGGGAGCCCCGGAGGGCTGAGTGCTGCTGCCACGGTGGGAGCCGAGGCGTGGGGCCCCGAGGGGGACCTGAACCTGGGGCTGCTGTGGAGGCGCGGGCCTGGGGTCACTCAGCATTCAGCCACGGTTTATTGAGGCGGGCACGTGCAGGACGCGCCCACAAACGCCATCTGCAGGTAGGAAGGGGTTCCCACCCTGTGCACCCACGGTCCGAGCTCGCCCCCACCCCCACGCTGTCCCTCCACCTCCAGCCTCCCGCCTCCTCTTCGGGATTTTTCGGCCTTGGTTCTGGCTGTGGCGTTTCCAGGGTAATTAACCCTCAGATCCTTAGAGAGATGGGCTGGTGGTTGGTGCTGTGGGTGGGGGGCCCCGGGGCAGGAGGCCTTGCAGGCTCCTGGGAGGGTCCACTCCCATTTGCTGCCTGCTTTTCACCCGGTCTCGCTTCCTGGTTCGCTCTTGACCTTGCACAGTTTTGTAGTGCTTTCCCAGGCTGCCGGGGTGTGCAAGGAGCTAGCCTGGGCATGCGCGGAATGGGGAGGGGTCGCTGGCTTTGCCCATCCCCACCCCCTTACACCTTCTCCAGCTCTGCTTCCAGTCCATGTGCTTGCTAGGGTCAAGATCACCTGCTTAGTACTTAGACACACATTTGGGCATCTCTGCCGAATTCTTCAAACACACATCACACATACACCCTGTGGGGTCTGTCCGGTGGGAAGCAGGGGCTCTGTGCTGCAGACTGTGGTCAGGCTTCCTTTCGAGCTGGCTTTTCCAGAAGGCTTAGATGGGGCCCGGCCAAGCCCAAGGCCTGCCGCACAACTGGGTGTGGGCATCCACTTTCCTGGGCTTGTCGGCCTCCATCACCCTCCTCCCTGCCCATCTGAGCTGGACCAGGAGGCACCACAGGTCACCACAGGTCACAGGAGGCACCTGAACTCCAGGTCATTGGCAGGACCCCATCTGAGGCCACAGATCCAGGAAGCAGGGTCCTGGGAACAGATGACTGCTGGGGACCACGGCCCTGACATCAGAGAGGATGCTTTGAGGAACATCGGGACCAAATCTGTCCATAGATCGATAAAGGAACAAACCCCAAGCCAGCCAAGGGCCCCTCTTGTCACCTAGAGTGAGCAGCCAGCACCAGAGGCCTGAACCTCCCGCTGCCCCAGTTAACTACAATTCCTAGGACCTGTGTAGCCTTCCCGTTGGCAGGGTCATCTAGAAGGATGGTGGTGTGGGAGGGACAGGGATAAAGCACATGATGTGGGGTTGGTTATCTTGTCAGAGAGGTGTCCCAGAGCCAAGATCAAAACCCATAGAGACAAACCCCTGGGTACTGGGTACTAGGTATCTGGGACTCGTCCCAGAGGCGGAGGCTGGCAGGGGAGCGTGTCTGCTGAGAGCTGGAGAGGGCCTTGTGCCACTCTGGCAGCTGTGGCGGGGAGGACAGGGTAGTCGGAGGTCAGGGGTTGAGTGCAGGCCCAGTGCAGGCCTGGCTGCTGTGGCTCTGAGTCTCCTTTGCATTCAGCCCTGGGCAGATGGGGGGTGGTCCAAGGCAGGGGGTGCCCCCTCCTGTTGGCATGAGGGGTGGGGAGCTAGCCTGGCGTCAGGGAGCCTGCAGGCCAGACGGCGGGGTATCAGGTTTCATCGGGCTGTCCTGTTGGCTGGATGGGCTGAGCCGAGCCAGGCACCGGCTGCAGCTGCTGCACCACAGGTCTTACTCTCACAGCCCGTGTACCCGGCTGGCCAGCCACCCCCAGGCCCATCAGTCTAGTAGAGCGCTTTGGGCTTCTCCAGGCTGTGGCTGAGCTTCTGCAGGGTCTTCTTGATGCGCAGCGCTGTGAGACGGGCTGAAGGGTTGGGGTACCAGCACTCCCGCATCATTTGCACCAGGCCCGACAGCACCTGGGGTTGGCAGGGACGAGAAGAGAGTGGGGAGGGCGTGGGTGTGGGAAAGGACAATGGTGGGAGCCAGGGGAGATGAGGAGAGAAACACACGGGAGATGAAAAGAGTGTGCCAGCCTGCCACAGCTCTTCCAAGGAACTGCTCTTCCAAACCACCCCACCTCGGCCAGTACCCATAGGATAGACAGACCAGGGCCCTAGTGTTCCTGCATCCCCACCTGGAAGGGCAAAGTGCTCCAAGCCCCTGGACCAACCCCACGGAGCATTTACCCCAGTGGATGGTGGAAGGATGGGTGGGAACCAGTACCCTAAGCATGCTTGTGTCCCGGGTTGGAGCTGTCTGGGGAAGCTTAGCCCCACCTCCTGGGCTTCCCGAGTGTGAGCGTGTGTGTGAGCACACGTGTGCAGGGGAAGGCACCCACGTGGCTTTCTGACAGTGTACATGTGTGCAGAGAAGCGCACCTGTCTATGTGTATCCACCTACAGGGACACATGTGCCTGCCTTCATTCTTTTGCTCGATCTTTCTGGGGCACCCAGTGTGTGTGTGAGGCACTGTGACCGGTGCCAGGGTTACAGAGGGTGAGTCCGGGAGACCTGCCTCATCCCCTGGGGTCCACAGCAGGCGACGCCGTGCTTGTCTGTGTGTCTGCGAGTGTAGACGTGGGAGCATATGCATGCCTGTCTGTTTATTCACATGTATGTGTGGCTTCAGATAAGGAAATGGAATGTTTGCAGGAAGAAAATACCAAAACAAGCAACAACAAGCCCATGGGAAGAAACACAGCCATAGGCCAAGTGACTGAGTCTGGGAACCCCGGAGGAACGAGGGGCTGTGTGTGTGTGTGTGTGAAGTACTCCTGGGGGGTGTTCTCCTCCCACCCCGAAGCCCCCAGGATCCACCCAGGATGAACCTAGCTAGGTCTCAGATACAAGTCTCAGCTGGGGCACCTGCTCTCAGTTTCTCCCAACCACCAATCCGCCTGCCCAGTCTCAGCCAGAGGCCTCACCGGGTCTGCAGCCAACCGATTTGGGATGGTGGGCGTCTGCTGGTCCACGCACACCACCTTCTTCATGTCCTCAAAGCTGGGGTCGTTGGGCACCACGTCGTAGAAGGGCGGCCTGTAGTCCTCCACCATGCCTGCAGGAGGCACATGCACAGGTTCATCCCTGGGGACCCAGCTGATAAAGCAACTGAGATGAAGTCCACAATTCACTGATTGCAAAGAGGTTCCTAGGCCAGACCTTGTTCCAGTCTTTAAAAACACAGTACATTTGATTGGGAAGGCAGAGTTTTAGGAAGAGAGGAGCGAGAGGGAGAGAGAGAGAGAGAGAAGGTGATCTTTCATCCACTGACTCACTCCCCAAGTGGTCACAAGAGCTGGGGCTGGGCTGGGCCACAGCCAAGAGCCAGGATCTCCATTCGGGTCTACCGCTTGGGTATCAGGGGCCAACGCCTTTTTGGATCATCTTCTGTTGCTTTTCCAGGCACATTGACAAGGAGTTGGATTAGAAGTAAAGCAGCCAGAGACCCAGTGCAATAACCTAATGGCTGGAGTCCTTGCCTTGCACCCACCAGGATCCCATATAGACGCTGGTTCTAATCCCAGCAGCCACACTTCCCATCCGGCTCCCTGCTTGTGGCCCGGGAAAGCAGTCGAGGATGGCCCAAAGCCTTGGGACCCTGCACCTGTGTGGGAAACCTGGAAGAAGCTCACAGCTCCTGGCTTCGGATTGGCGGCCACTTAGGGAGTGAATCATCGGACAGAAGATCTTCCTCTCTGTCTCTCCTCCTCTCTGTATATCTGCCTTTCCAAGAAAAAGAAATAAATCTTAAGGGAAAAAAAAAATAGTGGAGCAGCTGGGACTTGAACCCATATAGGAGACTGGTGGCATTCTAGGCAGCTGTGTGACCACTGCATGACAATGTCAGCCCCTCCAGTTTTTCCGCAACAGCTTTCTTCCCAGGCTCTGTCTGCAGGCCCAGTCACAGGTGACTGGTAACAGCACTTAGCGTCTCCTGAGCACTGACCCGTGTCCTGGGTGCATTAAAATCCACGCGACTCTGTGAGATCAGCAACACTCCCAGAAAGGCCAGGGCATCTAGGAAATGTGTCCGAATAGGCAGGACAGGACAGAGACAGAGAGCTGAGCCTCCAAGTCTGTGCTCCTGACCGCTGAGATGGCAGGCCGCCGTGAGAGGAGTGCCTTCAGCACAGAAAAGCACCCAAAACACCTTTCCCAAGAGAAGGGATTTGAAAGACACGACTTTTGGAGAGAATTTCCATCCACTGGTTCACCCAAGGGTCTGTAAGCCCAGGAAGGCGAGACTGAGCTGAAGCCAGGAACCCAACCGTTTGAGCTCTCACTGATACCTCTGCAGGCATGCGTTTAGCAGGAAGCTGGATTTGGGAGTGGAGCCGGAACTCACACCTACGCACTCCAACAACAGGATGTGCTGTGTTCAAAACCATCCCCCCACTGCCAGCCACGGCACAGCCAGCTAGCTGTACCCCTTCCTGCGTCCCCCCAAGAGTGCAGTCCTTGATCGGAGCTCTCTGACCACGGTGCCAGGTGTGGGAGGGTTGCCCCAACCCCTCCTGCTTCCCAGAGGAGGTGGGGGGGGGGGCCGGGCTGTGGCCATGTAGGCCACAGCCAGCTGCTTGGGCCATGGCGGGCTTCCAGGCCGGCCCCTTGCAGCCTGCGCCCTAATCAGCACTGTGCGGAGGCCCGAGTGTGTCTAATGAGCCTTTAATCAGCGCCGGGGCTGACACCAGATTACAGTGTTTATAATGCGCTGCAAATCTGTGTGGGGCAGACCGCGCTTCCCCAGCCAGCTCAGAGCCCGTGCACGGCCCTTCCTCTCCCGCCTGCAGCCTGCTCTGAGGGGGCTTCGGCTTCTTTCAGGTGCTCCCTTCTGCAGACCACAGCCTCAGCAGAGCCCACTCTGGCTGGTCTGGAGGGGCCAAGCCCCTAAATAAGGGTGGTTCTCACCCTCCATGCAGCCAAGAGCTGGCAGGCATGGACCACAGGGCTGCCCAGCAGGGTCCTGTACATGCTCCCACCCCCAACAAATCAGGGTCCCCTGGCAGTGCCCCACAGCAACACGGAGGCAACAAGAAGCAGGTGGTCCAGGTACCTCCTATGTTTCTGTGGACAAAAGACTCAAGGTCAGAGGGGCACAGAGACGCAGAGATAAAGCTCCCTGACTCAGAGCCAGTGCTGCAGCATGCGAATAGAGCCTCTGCCTGTAGCGTCAGCAACCCATAAGGTTGCTGCTGCGAGTCTCGGCTGCTCCTTTTCTGATCTAGCTCCCTGCTAATGCAGAGACAGCTGTAATTCTGTGTCTAAGTCTGATCGTCCAAACAGGGCTGAGAGGTAGCCCAACACAGTAGCCTGGTGTCTACAGTCCTTGCCTTGCCTACATCCCATATAGGTGCTGGTTCATGTCCCAACTGCTCCACTTCCCATCCAGCTCCCTGCCAGTGGCCTGGGAAAGCAGCAGAGGATGGCTCAAAGCCTTGGGACCCTGCACCTGTGTGGGAGACTCGGTCGAAGCTCCTGGCTCTGGATTGGCTCAGCTCCAGCCATTGCAGACACTTGGGGAGCGAACCAGCAAATGCAAGATCTTTCTCTCTTTCCTTCTCTGTGTATCTGCCTTCCCAACAAAAACAAATCTTTTTTTCTTTTTTTTTAAGAAAGGGCTGAGAATACTGTCAGGCACCCATCCTATTTCAGCAATCATGACCACTGTCATTTGCCTTTGATACTATCCTTAGGTGATCTCAAAAATGTGTTTTTGCAAGCCTGCTTCGTCCAACCGTGCTGTTAAGCACCCCCACCCTAGTGCTAGCACCTGTATTGCATGGAGCAGGGCAGGCGGTGCTATTTAAACTCAGTGCACGTCAGCTGTTCTTCGTAGTGCTGTCATGATCATGCACCTGAGATTTCAGAGCCAGAATCACAGACTCCCAGGCTCAGCTGGTCCTCAGAGAGGCCTTCTGCTGGGCTCAGCAAGGTAACGCCAGGTCAGCTGCGTGGCCAGAAGCCCCTGCGCCCAGCCCACCTGTACCCCTTACCCCCCAACCTATGCAGGGAGGCACCTTACCATTGATGATAGTCCGCCGGGCGATCTCCCACAGCACCAGGCCGAAGGCCCAGACGTCCGTCCATTTGTAGGACTCGAAGCAGTCGGTGCGGATCTTCTCGTCCAGTACCTCGGGCGCCATGTACCGCTTGGTGCCCACCCTGGGGTTGTGGCCGATGTCCAGGTAATCACTGCCCTGGGAGTGCATCACAGCCAGCCCTGTGGGAACCAGGCCTGTCACTCCTGTCACCCACAGACAAGTGGGCCCTGCAGGGAGGGTCCAAGATGGGTCTGGGCAGGAGAGAGCCAGTGAGATGTAGTTGGGCTGGATGGTGGACGCAAGTCAATTTCCATGGCGGCTGTTACCCTGGGGAAGCTGGTGCCCACTTCACAGAGCCGAACACCAAGGGTGGGGAAGGCAGGAGGTCTCTGGCTCCCTGTCCCCCCATTCTTTCTCTCTCTCTTTTTTTTTAAATCCTGGCTCCTGGGGCCCCATGGTGTGAAGGAGGAGTTTGGGATTGGAACTGCGGACTGCTAGGAGTGTGTGGGGTCTTATGGAGGATAAAGGGAACCAAGCCGCAGCTGGCAGAGGGAAGTGCGAGCAGCAGTGTGGCGCCCCACCTCCGCTCATGCCCCCTGCCCCCCGGTCCTGCTCACCCAGGTCTGCGATGCAACACTGCAGGTTGCTCTTGACCAACACGTTGCGGCTCTTGAGGTCACGGTGGGCAATGGCCGGCTTGCCCTGCGTGCCAAAGATCTCCACGTGCAGGTGTGCCAGGCCGCAGGCCGCTGACACAGCCAGCCTCAGGGCCAGCTGGGGCTCCAGTGTCCGCCTTTGCAGAAAGTCGTAGAGCGAGCCGTGCTCGTGGTAGTGCGTGATGAGCCACAGTTGCGTGCTTGAATTGCGGGAGGTCATGTCAGAAGCGATGAAGCCTGCACACACAGGGCTGGGGTCAGGGCAGAGGCGGGCAGGGGCCGCGAGGTGTGGGGGGAGGAGGCCTGGGGGCACCATCTCCCTTGCCTAGGATGTTGTCATGTCTCAGCAACACGGTGTTGTAGATCTCTGTCTCGCGGAACCAGGACTGCTCGTCCCTTGAGGAGAAGATCTTGACCGCCACACTCTCCCCATGCCAGGAGCCCCGCCACACCTCTCCATAGCGGCCTTTCCCTGCAGTAGCAGATCAGAGTAGGGGGATGAGCATCCACCTCCCTGGGTACCCAGAGTGTACCCTACCTCTCCAGCACAGGTTGCATGCAATGCCCATTTCTACCTGCCAAAGAGCAGCCATTCCTGTTGAATTGGATCCAGACCCAGTCTTACCTGCTGCGGAAGCCCCTGGCCCTGGATGTCCTGCCAGCTCACTCCCTGCCCAGCTGATTTCCAACCTAACCCACACCAGGTCCCACCCTGGTCTCCAGAAGCCCCCAGTGCCCCTTTGGTCTCCCAGCTCACCCACACACTCCACGAGGGCCACCTGCCGTGCCACTGTCCTCTGCACCAGGAAGGGAAGACCTGAGCCACTGCCTGTGGTGCAGTCGCTGTCCATAAGGTCCTGGGTGTGGGAGGAAGGGGAATGCTGAGATCACTGAGAAGTTGCATAACCCCAGCCCCCTTCTTGAAGGGGTCATTGCTGCCTCCTCACTGGTCCACCCTCAGTTCTGGGTCACCCGCCTCCCTCCCCCTGCCTTCCTGTCCTGGTCCTCAGTCCCAGCATCTCCCACTCCCCAAGGCCCGCCATACCCCCAGCATGCTATCCCCATGCTCGGACGCCTTCAGGATGAGGCTGGACTCGCCCAGGTCGCTATGTAGGCCTCGCTGCTTCTCCTGCCTCCGCCGGAAGTGCCACAGGCCCAGGGCACCCAGGACCAACAGCACCAGGAAGGCCAGTAGGGGGCCCAAGATCAGAGCCAGCTGGTCACCCCATGGCAGCGGAGGGGCTGGGGTAGCTGGGGGAAGGGAGACATTGAGACCCAGCCTTCCCCCACCCCACTTGGGGTAGACTGTTCCACACCCGCCTCCCACCCTCAAGAGCCTGGGCAGGGAGGGCAGGGGTCTAGGAGGGGGCAGCAGACCTACCCTGGAGCGTCAGGGACACGTTGTGGTTGCACAGGGGGCTGTAGCAGCAGTAATGGTTGAAGACGTCAGTGGGCCGGCCCTGGCAGAGCTCTGGGTGTAGGTTCCCGCAACCCCGGTATTGCTGGAGCTGCCCATCCTCCTCCCGCACCAGCACCACTGTGCACCAGGCCCCTTGGCAGATGGGTCTCCAGCAGTGTGGGTTCTCACACGTACAGGTCACCAGCGGGCCCCGTGAGGGCCTCCCGGAGTCACCTGGGAGACACACAGGAGACTCAGCCACTATTTCTCCCCCGAGGCTTGCTTCCCTGTGTCTTCTCAAACAAGCTCAGGGCTTGGTACATGACCTGTGTCCTTAGCTCACCGTGCCGCCCGGAGCCTCATCCCAGCCCCGCTCAACCCAGCCCCATTCAACCCCAGCACCGAGGCTCCCCGTGCCTGGGAGACAAGAGGACAGCGAAGGAGCTGGGCTGTCACCACCCTCCAAGCCTTCCTCCTCCCCAGCCAGAGCTGAGCCAGCAGGTGGGGGTGCCCTGTTCCCTAACTGCTCCCCAGACACTCACCCTGGGTGAGGCCCAAGGCCATTAAGAGCATCAGAAGACCCTTCCTGGAGCAGTCCAAGGTCATGGTCCCTTGGGGACAGGAGAAGAGACCCAGAAAGATCTGTGGCAATGTGACAGCTGCTGACCGCGACGTGCCTCCCAGCCAGAGGAAATCACTGGGTGTATTTTGGTGGGGGGAAGGCAGGGAGGCCACCTCCCTACTCCCTGACTCTGGCTTGGGGGCGGAGCCTGCAGGGGAAGTCCTGGCTCACTTCCCCATGGAGACCATCCTGTTGGGGTGAAGAGTGGAGAGCCACGTTTCGGACCCTCAGAGCTTAAGGGGAACCCCGCTGCTGCCAACTTGGGCCAGGCAGCAAGCAGTGGCAGCCCCCCGAGGCTCTGTCCCTCACCCACCCCTTCCCAGCCTCCACTCCTGCCCACCCTTCCCCCAGTGCCGCCTCCACTGCCCTCTCAAGCCCCCCCAGCCCCCCAGCCCTCGCTGCCTCCAACATAAACAGGCTCCTGTCTTTACTTCCTGCCATTCAGGGTACCGCCACGCCGCCGGGAACAGGAATCAAGATTGTTTAGATTGGGGTCTGGATAGAACAGCCAGGGATCACGCACAGCAGGGCAAAGGGGGGCATAGGCTCAGGGCTTCCTGAGGTAGCAGCCAGCGAGGGGGCTGGAGGAGCCTACCCCACCTCCACTCCCCAGGTCTGGGTCACTCCACAACACGGTCTTAGGAGCACACCTTAGAAATTGCAGAACCCAGCTCGGAGTGGGGAAGGTGGCAGCAGGGGCAGGGCTGGGAGAGCAGCCCTGGCATCCAGGCCCCCTGGCCAGGCTTCCTGCCATTCTGTGCCAGTGGTGGCTGCCCCAGCGGGGGGCGGGGGAGGGCTGGCTCACACCAGGTGTAAAAGAACCTCTGTGTGTCCCTTTGCTCTTGGAGTGCCTGGAGCCTTCTCTGAGCTGTTTCCAGGGGAGTCCCCCTGCCACTGCCACTCCTGGGAAAGGATGGGGGAGGGTCACTGATGGAAGAAGGAAGTAAAACACACCAGGGTGCCCCGGGGTTGACTCTCCTCTGTGGCTAGCCAGGGCAGAAGTGTCCCAGCAGCTTGATAGAGGGAACAGTTCTGGGCTGGGACAGTCTCCCACTGACCATTGCTTACACACACCACCACCACCACCACCATGCTTCATTTGCCCATGGATTAGACCAGAATGCTGCAACAAGAAGGACTGGGGTCCGATGACACCTGGAACCTTCTAGAGAGTACGGAGAGGGAATGTAGGCGTGTGCCTGTGGACAGGCCCAGGACGGGTGGCAACACAAGGCAGGGAGGGAATGTGTCCCTTCAGACCAATGGGGCAGGGCTGGACGTTCGGCCACCAAGCTGCCCAGGTGAAGACCAAGGGGTTGAGGCTCAGAAAGCAGGAGGGCATGGTGGGGCGGGGGACAGTGGCGAGGGGGTACTGCCTGCTGGCAGCTCTGGCCTCCCTGCCTGGGCCTCCTCTGACCCCAAGAGGCTCCAGGCTGCTGTAGCTGTGTGTCCCCAGCCTTTGCCTCTGGCCCCTCCCAGCAGCAATGGAACCAGTGGCTGATGGAGAGATTGAGTGAGCCCCAGCCTGCTGGGGTCCTGGCAGAAAGCCCCATCCTTGGCAGCTTTGGCTGGCCCGGGAAGCAGCTAATGAAGGGAGAGGGTACTGGGCTGGCAGGGAGTGGTGACTCAACAATAGCGATGAGATGGGGGGGTGTCTTCCAGGGCCCTTTACCTGTGTTTGCATTCCTCCGACAGCCCCAGGCCAGGCTCACCTCCTTCACGGCCCTGTAGGATATATCATGGATCCCTCGCAGGGTTGCGTGGAAATGCCCAGTTCTCTCACCGCAGATTCTGACTCAGTCCATCGGGGACCAGCAAGGAACCTGCATTCAAAAAAAAAAAAAAAAAAAATGAAGTTCCCAAGGGAATGAGAGGTGTGTCCTCCATGGTGCAAACATTGGTTCCTGGGCTCTCCTGTGCTCAGTGCTGGGCCATGCCCGGTGACCCAGAGACAGGGGACTAGGTCACCCAGGGACCTCCTCCTCTGCTGTGGGAGGAAGCCTGCCATGCAGAGCCCTCTTGTCTCATGCTGGGGGTGTTAGGGACTAAAACTGGACCACCTGCTAGCTAGCTGGAAGGCTGAGCGGAAGTGAGGAGTGATGAGTGCTGGCTAGTCCAGCCTCTGGGCTGACCTGTACCCACAAGCTGGCTGTGACACACACTCCTGGAACCGGGCAGGATCCTTTGGCTTCTAAGCCAAACCATCCTGCTGCTAGAAGCATCACGGCGGTCGGCCAGAAATCACAAATGTTCCACTCCTTGCAAACATTAGCTTAACCCTGGGAAATAATACTAGCAGTTAACCTCCCGTGAGTATTAATTATGTGCTAAGTCCCGAACTTTATGGATTGGTTGATTTATTTGAAAGGCAGAGGAATGGGAGTGTGGAGAGAGAGATTGAGATGCTATGTGTTGGCTCATTGTTCACATGACTGCAACGAGCCAGGGCTGGACCAGGCTGGAGCCAGGAGCCTGCTCTCACATGCGTGGCTGTGACCCAAGCACTTGGGCTTCTTCCGCTGCCTTCCCAGGTGCGTTAGCAGAAAGCTGGATGGGAAGCAGATGGGAAATGGGACTCAAACTAGCACCATCGGAGATGCCGGTTGCCAGCAGCTGTTCAATTCAGCCATACCAGCATGCTGGCTTTTAGGACTAAATAAGGGTTTATCTCTGTTCCTTCTCACAGTAATTCCAGGAGAAGGTGAGGCTTGGGCATGTCAAGCTTTTTGCCCACAGTCCTGCGGGTGGTTGTTCCTCCAATCGTCTGATTAAGTGGGGAAAGTGCACAGGACGCAGGTCTCAGACAGTGTGGTTCCCAGCAGGTGCCCAGGTCTGGTGTGAGTCTGAGACCAGGCCGGGACAGGCAGAGAGTAGGAGTGGACCTGGAAGATGGGTAGCCATCTGTTTCTCTGAGAGGTGGATCCCAGCCACCCCTCGCCGGGACACTGGCAAAGGACAGCAGCAGCAGAGACAGCCCAGTAGTGACAGACTCGAACTGCAGAAGTACTGCCTCAAACACCCCTGCCTTGCCTGCCACTGCCCCTCAGTGGGCCTTGTATGTCATGATATGTGGCTGTGCCAGCCCCTGGCAGAATAAGTCAGGACAGTAGGGTCCCCAGCAGGCTGTGGAAGCAGCTCCCCTTCTCCCTGAGAATCTGTTTTGCAGATACCCCCAGTGGCCGCCTGAAGCCAAGGGTCACACCAAATCCTATTCCCACACCCTTATGCCCACTTGAACTTGTAAATGGACCTAGTAGGAGATGAGCAGTATAACACGGGTGACGGATCAAACCAGACCCTACACCAGCTAGTGCACATGAGAGTCAAGTCAGAGGACTTCCCAGGCAAGGTTTCCTGGGTGACTTCTCAACTTGAACCCCGGGCTCAAACTGGCCTCGGGGAAAATCACAAGAATGTGTGGTCTGACCTTGGAGTCCATGTTGCAAGACCAGGGCTCCTTGGTTGCTGATGGTCATGGAATATGCACATACCCATTAGCACATGCAAGACATGTCAGCCAGCTCAGCTAAGCCAAGAGAGGCCATTGAGCGCCTCCTCAAGAGACGGAAAGCAGAACAGGTTGAACAATTCTCCTGACCCAGGCTTTGCAGCCAGTCTGTGGATACGTAGACCTGGACAGCCCATAGACTTTAGATTTTTCTCAACCCTGGTGCACCGAAGCTGACGGTGTCTCAGAACTGTCCAGACCACTCAAGTAACACCCTTGGAACATTCTCCCCCACCCTGGCTCACTAAGGTGACATCAAATGCCCGCCTCCTTCCCCAGGCGTCGGTGTAGTTTGACAACAAGGGGCTGGCCCTTTCCTGACCCCCCTCCTCTGTGGACACAGGAGGAAGGAAAAAACAAGGAAATCATTAATTCCATCCACCTTTCTCCACACCTTGACCTTCCCCACCCTAATTGAAGACCCACATGGGTATGTAACCCTCTCACCTATGTAATCAATATTAAAAATAAAGTAGAAAAAATTATATACAAAAGAGAGCAGCATGACTGAAGAGAAGGAGGGACGCAGGCCCTGCAGGACAGGCAGTGTGGTCTGGAAATGACCAGCGGGTGGACATCACGCCCAGTGTGGACACAATGTATCCCACGTTCCTGGTGGGACAGAGTGGGACAGCACAAGGCGTTACAATGATGAGTGCATAACTGAAAGCTTAGGAACTGTTTCTAGAAGTTTCCAGACTGTGGCTGACCACAGGTACCTAAAGCCATGGCTAAGAGGAGATGACCATGTAGCACAGTGGTGCAAGAGAGATTCCGAGTGCACATTTTTGCCAACTTTACAGCCATGAGATTTAGGGAGAAAGCAACATCAACTTCTGAGGTCTCTTGGGATTAAAATGCTGTTTATTTCATAGCTGCTCCACTTCCGATCCAGCTCCTGCTCATGGTCTGGGACAGTGGCAGAGGACAGCCCAGTGCTTGGGCTGACACCCACATGGGAGACCCAGAAGAAGCTTCTGGCTTCAGACTGACCCAGCTCTGGCCACTGCAGCTATTTAGGCAGTGAACCAGCAGAAGGAAGATTCTCGCTCTTTCTCAATCTCTCTGCCTCTCTCACTCTTTCAAGTAAAACAAGCAAATCTAAACAAACAAACAAAAAAACAAGGGCCCAGCATGGTAGCCCAGCAGTTAAAGTCCTCCCCTTGTACACACCGAGACACATCTGTGCACTGGTTCTAATCCTGGCAGCCCCACTTCCCATCCAGCTCCCTGCTCGTGGCCTGAGAAACAGTCAAAGACGAAGATGGTCTGAAGCCTTGGGACCCTGCACCCACGTGGGAGACCAAAAAAAGACTCCAGGCTCCTGGCTTCAGAGCAGCTCAGCTCCAGCCTTTGCGGTCGCTTGGGAAGTAAATCATCGGATGGAAGATCTTCCTCTCTGTCTCTCCTCCTCTCTGTATATCTGACTTTGCAATAAAATAAAAATACCAAGCATCATACAGTAAACATATAATCAATATCACCAAAATCCTAATCATATTGTTTACACCTCCCAAGAGCCCCCAGACAAGCTATTCAAGTCTGAATAGGTTATGGGTTGGTTTTGGTAACTCTTCCTCTGCTAGTTTGTGGCCACGGTTGCAGGAGGGAAAAAAATGTACCGAAGTGGATAAAGGTGGCTATTTTCTACAATTCCTTGAGATGGAAGGGCAGGCAAGAGCACAGACAGGACGAACAAGACAGACAGGACAAACACCTGTCCAGGCCTGACATCCTACCTGCTAAATGGGCATGCCGCTGAGAGCCCAGAGTGTGGCGTTCAGGGCGGCTGGTCGGACCCAGTACATGTCAGCTGGCTCAGGTCGTCCAGGTGACTTCCTGAAGGACTTGATTGGCTAAGTGCATGAACTGGGCTGGGAGGAGGGGGTCTCGGAGCCGAGGGGTCGGCTGCGGGTGGGTGCTGGAGAGGATAGGGGGTTAGAAAGCCAGACCTTGCCCACAAATAACGGTGGGGGCGTCTGTGCATTGTGGAGGAGAGGGTGGGGGCTGGGAACAACGACTGGAAATGGGGTTCTCTCTGGCCCAGCAGCTGGGGGGAGAGGGAGCGTGGCCCCGGGGTGCCCGTTCAGGCTCAGGGTGGGTTTTGTGGGGGGTGAAGCAGGATTGGCATGGGTGGACGCCGAGCAGGGCTCTGCCGCGCTGGAAGGGGTCCCTGGCTCCCAGGGGAACCTGGAGCCACACAGGACCTCGACGTGTCTGAGCGAAGCAAGCAAGACCCATTTCAGGGATGCGGCCAGAGCAGAAACGCTGGGCGAGTGGCCGGTGTCACCAGGCGGTTGCAAAAATGGGCCCTGTCGCCCGGAAAGGTCTCGGGGGTCCAAAGGGACACCTCTCCACCGGGGCATGTAAGATGCGCAGAGTTGTCAGGCCCACCCCGCCCGCCAGCGACTCACCTCCGGGCCTGGGCTGTGGACGGAAGGCGGCGCGCCGGGGACCCTGTCGCCTCCCCGGAGGCGGTGGCCGCACGGCGAGCAGGGCGCGGTGATCGGGGTCCGGGCGCGGCCCCGGACAGGGCTGGGGGCCCGCGCGGCCGGGCTCGCTCTGCGCGGCTGGCGCGGCGGCGGCCTCCCGGGACTGGGAAGGGGGTTGGAGCAAAAATGTTTCTTATTCCAGCGTCTTCCTGCCTGGCCCTGCTCCACCACTCCCTCCTAATAAACTATTTCCTATTGCCCAGCTTGCCGCCCGGCAGTCCACTGGTCTCCTCCAGAGTTTTACCGCCCTCCCCCTGTGCTGCTCGGGCGGACCCCCACACTGCAGCCACACACACACACACCCTCCCCACCCCCTCCCAACTCCCCAAACACCAGCCCTGAGCCCCAGCTCTGTCTCCCACATCCGCTTGCCTCCCCCGGAAGAGGGGACGAACATTGGCCTTGACCCACTGGGGTCCCTTTGGCAGCGGAGGTGGGGGGATTCCAAGCCCAGAGTCAGGGGTGCCTCCTGGGGACCCTGATGAGACAAAGCAAGCTGGGGAGGGAGCAGAGGGCTTGACCTCCAGGGGCGGGCACATTTTCTCCTGGGGCTGCCTGGGTGGGCTGGGGTGGGGGGCTGTCTGTTTGCTTCCCAGCCTGTCCTGGGGATTCCCAGACCGAGCAAGAGCCACCAGGCTAGTTGGTTGTGATCTGGGGCAAGCAAAGCCCATCCAGGCTTCACTTTCCGAT